TTAGCCTGATTTTACATTCTTACAAACTTCTTTAATGTATGACTTTATAGGACACAATTGATTCTATCTTTTCTGCATTAAATATTACACTTTCACACATTATGTAGCCTCTGACAGACTATACTCCAGACAACGAGAGGGATTAAAACAAGTAACAGTATATTATTAAGAAGACAGGGACCAGCAGTTCGCATATGGCTATGTCTCTGAACTCCCACGTAGTTGACCACGGTTTGAGTACCAGACCCGGTGGCTTAAACTCACACTGGGCATGTGTGCATGCGTGCCCAAGATCCTGAGAATTTCATGCCTAAAGTCAGACATGTATTCAGATATATATATATCAACTGACCTTACTATTGAAAGTAGTTAGATTATTTAAGAGATTTCTTGAATCAACAAAATGTGAGGAAAAAAAAATAAAGAATGGAAAGCAACTGTAGATACCAGAGACAGTGTGAGAGAAGAGTGGGTAATGGCAGCGGATGAGGAATAGGGACCAACAGTTAGCATAATGGCTATGTCTCTGGACTCCCACATAGTCGACTACGGTTCGTGTCCCGGACCCGGTGGCTTAAAACTCACGCCGGGCACATGTACGTGCGTGCCCAAGATCCCGAGAGGAGAATGGAGAAGGGATTGCGGGTGTGGCCATCCCCCCTGGGGGGTGATTTCTTGCTTTCTGTCTCTCTGTCTGGCGAGTGCACATGCCCTATAGCAAAAACCTCTCAAAAAAAAAAAAAAGAAATAAAGAAATAGGGGGAATATATTATATATATATGAAACTAGAAATGGAAAATTATCACAATAACATGTACGATGAAGCCACTATGCAGTATATTCTGGATGGGAAATCACATTTTGTATGCTGTAACTGAATGAATGTAAAATTAATTAATTAATTATTTTTTAAATCCCAAGAGGAAAGTAGAAGAGAAGGAATTGTGACATGGCCATCCCTCTGTGGGGGGAGGGGAAATGATTTCTCGCATTTTTTTCTCTCTGTCTCTCCAGCGAATGCACACACCCTATAGCAAAAAATTCTAATAAAAAATAAATAAATAAATAAACATAGTAGTAAGCAGAATTAAGGGTTGCAGGGACCAGCAGATGGCATAGCAGTTATGTCACTGGACTCCCACGTGGCTGACCACAGCTCAAGTCCTGGACCTGGTGACTTCAAAATCACACCAAGTGAGTTTGTGTTTCTAAGATCCTAGGAAGATAATGGAGAAGAGATTGTGGCATGGCTAACCCCTCCAGGCCATTATTTTTCGCTTTACCTCTCACTGTCTCTGTCTTCTCAGGGAGCACACATGTCCTAAGGCAAAAGCCTCTCTAAAAAAAAAGAAAAAGAAAAGAAAAGAAAAAAATTCAGGGTTTCAACCAAATATCTAAGCTCTTCATTGGAAACTGATCCACCAATCTGATATTGTATTTCAGGCTGCTGTGTAAGGTGATTTCCCTGTCACCTGAATATATATCAGCAACAAGCATTTTTATTCTCTGCAGAAACTAGTAATATGACTCTTCTGTTGACCAATAAAAGTTAAGTAAAAATTCTTTTTTTTTTTTTTTAAGAGGTTTTTGCTATAGGGGCGCGTGCGCTCGCCAGACAGAGAGAGACATAGAGACAGAAAGCGAGAAATCACCCCCCAGGGGGGTTGGTCACGCCGCAATCCCTTCTCCATTCTCCTCTCGGGATCTTGGGCACGCACGCACATGTGCCCGGCGTGAGTTCTAAGCCACCGGGTCCGGGACGCGAACCACGGTCAACTACGTGGGAATCCAGCAATATAGCCATTACACTAACTGCTAGTTCCCGAAGTAAAAATTCTTTTCACCAGACTAGTCCCATAACACAGTGATACATAGGGAACTGGATCCCACATGGCCAACTGAGGTTTGAGTCTTGCCCTAACGACTTGAAAAACATGCCAGGTGCATATGTGTGCATGTTCCAAATCCTGACAGAATGGAGAAATGAAGGAAGGATTGCAGTGTGACCACACCTCATAGGGAGGTTTTCTCTCTCTCTCTGTTTGGCAAGTGCGCATGCCCTCTAACCACAAGCAAACAAAAATTTTCTGTCATGAACATATACGAGATGCTTATT